GCTATTGTGGCTAGACATGGAACGTTATCGTGTCCAGTCTGTCATAGCAAGATTTAATTGAATGCTGGGTTTGGTCAATGTTTTTAGAGAAGTCTGAATTTGTTATGACTATCCTAATAAATTTAGGGGTTGAATACTTGAATGTAAGAATGCCTTTTTTGACCTATAATCCATACCTATATCCATACCCATATCTTTTTAGAGCAATAGATGATGTTGCATATATGTTTGATTCTCATAAATATGATGATTTTATCATCGGAAAATCAGAAAAAAAAAAGGAAGATACCCAAGCAAACAGGTGATGAACAAATAAAAAGAATATGGAATATATGTTGTCCATCAATTTTAATGGTTAGATATTCAATGCGCTGAGAATATTAAAGAACGGATCATGACTTTTTTTTTCTTAAGAAACAAAACTGATCAAGATTATTAGATCGCAATGAGACTGGATGGCCCAAAAATTTGCTGTTTAACTCAGCAAGGGCAAACTTGAAAATGAATAGATAATTTGCTACGGCACCTAATTTTTTCGCTGCCGATATCGTCAGCCTTTACATTTATATGTTTTCCCCTAGAGTATTATTAAATAAATTTAAAAGAATATTGTTATACTAATTAATGAGACATTTCCACCCAAAAAGTAGTGAGAAGATCTCATCGTATCATTCATTACTAGTGATACCCTATTCTAAAATTTGTACAAATTTCAAAACTCAATATAGACATTTTTTTTTAAAGATAAATGAAGTATTATAATTTGTGAATTTTACCAAATATGGTATAATTCAGAAAATATGATATAGACTTCTTTTTGTTTCTAAGATATCGGAGCGATTGTACTACAAAGAAAATTTTTTTGAATATTTATTCCATTCGTGATGTTTTAAATGGAGGTCAAATAAAAAATTTTTATCGATGACATTTACATAAAAAACTCTATAACTAAAGAGTGTTAGGCCTTCAAAACTGAGCAGTATTTAAACTAGTCAGGACCCGGTCAAAATTCGGTTGGACTGCGAACCGGATTGAACCGGTTTTTGTCTTTTTCCTCTTTTTGTACTTTTTTCTTTGTGTTATGACCCTAGTTTTTTTATAAACTTGCTGCATTGACCACAACTTTTTGTTTTTGTGGTTATTTTAGAGAATAAGTTTTATTTTTTTATCAACAAAGTCAATTTTTGAGTCCTAAATACCTTTAGTGTTGAATTATTTTAGTTTGATGATAAACTCATATGTTTAAATCAAGATTTCTCTTATTTCAATCATAAATTTATTATATTTTGAAAAATTATAACATATAAATTATTATATTAATACTTGTAACTTTAGATATTGTATTATTAATATAATTAAAATTTAAAATGATATATAACATCATCCGGTCTTATCCGATTTTATGTTTCGGGCTAAAGGGGTTGACCCAGTGACCCAATGAACCCCTATTGACACCGATCCGGTTCTAAATCCGGGTCTGACAACACTGATTTATAGTTATTGGTTAGAGGGAAAATAAAGATAAAAGTTTCTTAGATGTAAATTTCAAGAAAAAATAAAACTCAATGGCCTCTTACTTTCTTAAAAAATTTTTTTTGTGTGTTTTATATCAGTATTAATTTATGATATTAGGGGAACTATATTTATATAGAAATTTTTTGAAAATATAATTAATATATCGATTTTGGTACTGGTTCCTAGTTTGGACCAGAAAAATTTATTATTTAATAAAGTTTATGAATATATAGAGTATTGATTTAAGAAGTTTTTACCTGATTACTTGGAAAAATATCCATCAAATAGACAGAAATTGAAAAATTATTACTTGTTGATAATGTATTACTAATGATTATGAAAAGTTAAAAAAAAAAGTGGAAAAAAGAAAACACACAACAATATCATCCTAGAGAAAAGAAAAACATATTTGAAAATATATCCTCGCGAATGAGGCATTGATTCAATGGTAAAACTACCCTTACTCTTAAGAAAAAGTCATGAGTTTGAATCTCTATTCGAACAAGAGCGGGGTGACTCTAACCTTATAAATTGACACCTCTAGAGGGCTTGTTATAGCAAACTCACTCATGAACTTTCGGTTTCGCACCCAAATTTGTCACTCCGGACTAGTTTAGCGTGGTTTACCTCCCACTGTGTTTTACAGGCTATTACACTAGGTGTGGGTTTACCCATCTCTGGTGGAAATTACCAAAAAAAAAAACAAAAGTCCCAAATTACAATTTCAAAACTTTTGGTTGAATCCGAAGTTTCCAAAACGAAAAAAAAAAAATCTTGTTGAACTAAGCACATTGTACTTTACCAAAAAAATCTTATCTATCTATAGTATTATGCTAAGAGAGAAACCAGAGAGAAAAAACAAAAAAGAATTCTAAAGGTGCCACATAGGATAAAATCCTATGTGTCATTTTTCTAATGGTTGAGTCAAAAAATATTTACAACAATTATACTAATAATCCTTCAAATTTTATGTAAATAAAGTTTTATCAAATGACATTTAAAACTATAGTTTAAAATAGAAAAATAAAAATTAAATAAATTTAATGGACGTGATTAATGAAATTAATGCACCAGAATTATTCCCTCCCCAAAAGAATCCCCAAAGTTACTACTGGACTCATTTAATTAATCTCTCTCAAAAAACAATCTCCCTCCCAATCATGTAAATCAATAGACTACAATTAAAAAAAAAAAAATTACCAATCATTCAACATTAATGTTATCTTTAAAATATTCTCCCAAAAACATGACCCTGTATTTTTCGCCAATAAAAAAGAAAAAAAAGGTACAAAATTTGCCTTCAATTATTACTAAAAGGATGGGATTTAACTATAATTAAATGTTATCTTTTGAATTACAAACCAATGTATTTATTTGTGTAATATCATATCTACCCAAATAAATATAAATTTTCCTTAATAATCTCAAAAATTGTTATAAACTTTATCTTTATCACTAAAATTTTGGAAAATCAATTATCATCAATCCCAATTTATCTCTATTTATACATGCCACACAAACCATGAGTATGTTCCAGTGCTGCAAAAATTTCTCTCTCCCCAAAACAACCCGAAATCCAAAGATGAAAGGGCAAAAACTTTAGCCTTACAGTTGGTTTGTTGTTCTGAAAGTGATGAACTAATAGCGGGTCGATCGTGTGGCATGGGAGGTAATGATTAATTAAGGTTATATATGATTTTTTTTTTCCGTATATTCTTCTGCAAAATGATGTTTTAGGGTTCTTTTTTAGACGTTACTAAATTTATGTTTTTTTACCTATAATTTCATTATTTCATTAATTATTATTTTCTATTGTCATCACAAAAAGGGATTAAAGGGCAAAAATTTTAACTATACAGTTCGTTTGTTGCTCTAAAATATTAAGTATTGGGCCAAACAGTACCATAGAATCTTTAATTATAACAAAATAACCATAAAAATTTTAAACTTCACACTTCAGTCACACATAATCTACCATCTACTATTGATAATTACTTCATTATATATTTTACGCGTACAATTATTTTATCTTTTCATTCAATGTGTAATATTAATACAATCTTATTTATTTTACTCTGCTTATGAGTGTTATTGTCCAGTTTTTCTCCTTCAATAAAAAATCAAGTGAACACTTGCATTTCAAATGATATGCATTATTTTATCTTTATAATTACGCATTTATTTAATTTTAGTTGTGTAATGTATCTTAATATGGACTCCAAATACATTTTACATTTTTTATATTTTTTTTGATTAATTTTTTATAATATATATAAATAAACCCCGCGCATCGTGCGGGTTTAACATCTAGTTAAATTAGTATGCTACTTTTGACTTATGCAATTCCTTACATCTGCAAGAAATCAAATCATATTTTCTTTAAAAGAAACATTGTATGAATTTGGGAAAGAGTATCAGTAGTAGTTTCCACAGTTTCAAAACTACTAGTGGGTAGTTCAAGAAATTAAAAAAAAAAAAAATGAAATCTGCAAAAGAAAGTTTGACTTTGACCCGCATGGGTGCTAATTAATTAATGGAAATTACTAAGTTCCTACCTATCATATGCATTATCAAATTAAACTACAGTGCCGCCATCGATCTTTTGTTCTTTTTCTCATTTGTGGAAACAATATTTTATTTTTTTTCATGCCACAGCCGCCAGTATTAATTACGTTGGAGAAATATGTTTGAGTTCAGTTAAATGAACTATAATCTTGACACGATATACTTATTCTGCGTATCATGCCGTAAAATCAATTCAATTCTACGGGAGCGGAAATAATATTATGGGAAAAAAAAAACAGAATATCAGTACCCAAAGTAAAAAAGCATAAATTATTGTTCCCTCTTTCTTTCTGTTGCCATTTTATATGGTTCAAAGCTGAAGATTACAAAAAGTTGACTTTGGCATGGAGTACATCTTGATAATGAATCGTACTACGTAACTGATCCCAATTTCAATCATTTTCAAGGAGTAAAATAATCCAGATTTGAAAATGCAGATGAATCCAACAACTAATCAAAAGGACAAAGCTAATCTTGAATTCAAGGCAGATGTTATTCACTTGTCACTTGTCAAATGGTCAACCCACCAAAAATCATTGAGATAATGTATGTAGACAAGCCATTATGTGATCATGGATGATGTATGTGGACTAATGATATCAGTAAATTTTGTTGTTAATCTTTTTATAGGTTACAGTTACCAACTTATTTGTTTTAAAAAATATTGCTTCAATAAAATAATGTTGAGCAATGAGGATTGCATAGACATCATCATTAGATATCCACAAGAAAACTCTGACTTTGGGAGTTAAGATTCTTTTTAACTAATTTTATACTCTGAGTAGCAGTTATAAAAGGCCTTCAGTAAGATTCATTAGAATCACTAAATTCATCCTCAATGTATTCCTAAGTCAGTTATGAGCTTTTGATCCTAAAGGGTTTTGGTTTCCTTGTTTATTTGAGTGGACTATTGAAAAAAAATGGAGAGTTCTGATGCAATAAGACTGGGTAGTTTCAGGTTCAGTAACTCTAATGTTTGGGCCAACACTTCAACGGAAGTGTTTTCCAAGTCCTCACGTGATGATCAGGATGATGAAGAAGCGCTGAAGTGGGCTACAATCGAAAGACTTCCAACGTATCTTCGCATTAGAACTGGTGTTCTGATTCCAGAAGAAGATGGCCCTCCAAGAGAAGTTGATGTGAAACATCTTGGACCAGCAGAGAGGAAGCACATTTTGAACCGGGTTTTACATGAAGGCGAAGACAATGAGGAGTTCTTGTTGAAGCTTAAACAGCGTATCGCGAGGTGATCATTATAGTATTGGATTCTGTATGACTGTTGTTAAACATCCATTGCCACTTCTTACTTTATGTTCTGAGTTGTTTGTTTGTTTTGCAAATTAATATAGAGTTGGAATTGAGTTTCCAAGCATCGAAGTAAGGTTTGAGAACCTAAATGTCGCAGCAGAAGCTCATGTTGGCAGCAGGGGACTTCCTACAATCTTCAACTTCTGTATTGATATAGTTGAGGTACTCTACTTCTAAGAATAATGATCATGTGCTTTTTCTCAGAATTATACCTTAAAAGTGTATTAACATTTTGCATTTCTACCTATTTCTTTTTGAAGGGAATGTTGAACTCGCTTCATATTCTTCCAAATAAAAAGAAACCTTTCCCAATTCTTCATGATGTCAGTGGAATTGTCAAGCCTGGAAGGTTAGAACAATTTTGTCAGTGTTTAATCTTCACATCTGCGCCGTCCTGCTTCATGTTTACCTAAAAGCAAGATAGTTTTGCAGATTGACATTGTTGTTAGGACCACCAAGTTCTGGTAAAACAACATTGCTGTTAGCTTTATCTGGGAGACTTGCTTCAGATCTTAAAGTAAGAAAATAAAATCTTGTAGTTTTCCAGTTGTTTAATGCGGTTTTGCTGCTAGTAAAATTCATCTTCTTGGGATTATAGGCTTCTGGGAAAATTACATACAATGGCCATGAGATGAATGAGTTTGTGCCCCAAAGGTCATCGGCTTATATTAGTCAAAATGATCTTCATCTTGGTGAATTGACTGTGAGAGAAACATTAGCATTTTCTGCAAGATGTCAGGGTGTTGGAGCTCGACATGGTCAGACGAATTCTCCTTTATTTTTTCTTTCTCAGTTCCTTTATGCTTTTCAAAGGTCATTCTTACCAGAACCACTTACTGTCTTTATATCTGCAGATCTGCTAATGGAATTAACAAGGAGGGAGAAGGAAGCAAAAATAATGCCCGATCCTGATCTTGATACTTTCATGAAGGTAAGAACATCTTCAGTCATAATTTCATTTCTGTCAATTCTAAAATATGGCTTTCGGCATTTGAATAAATACTCAAGTTGATGCATTCTATTATTGAGCTTCATCTGATTCAAACATTTTCAATCTGCAGGCCTTGGGGGTTTCAGGACAGGAGATAAATGGAATGACAGATTACATAATCAAGGTGACAAAAATTTTTGGAAGATAATTATTATTTGATCTTACTGGAATTTAAGTCTGAATCTCTTCTTTTTCTGTAGATATTAGGACTGGATGTTTGCGCAGATACCATGGTTGGAGATGCTATGATAAGAGGTGTTTCCGGAGGGCAGAAAAAGCGCGTGACAACAGGTGAGTGCTGAAGACTTGTTCAATAGCTTACCCGACAAATATGTTTGGATTTCATCCAACAATTTCAACAATGAAATTTATGACAGGGGAAATGATGGTTGGAGCAGCAAGGGTCTTTCTTATGGATGAGATATCAACTGGATTGGATAGTTCAACGACCTTCAACATCGTGAAATCAATCTTGCACTCGATTCACATTCTCCGCGGAACTGCTGTTATCTCACTGTTGCAACCAGCTCCAGAAACTTATGAATTATTTGATGACATCATTCTTCTATCAGAAGGCCATATAGTATATCAGGGTCCCCGAGAAAATGTACTAGAGTTCTTTGAATCCATGGGTTTCAAATGTCCAGAAAGAAAAGGAGTTGCTGACTTCTTACAAGAGGTACATCTGTGTTTGATAATTATTGAACATATCAGTTACATCCTGGAATTTTAAATAGCTTGTTTGGTTTTAAAATGTAGGTAACATCTCAGAAAGATCAAGAACAATACTGGGCCAACAGGGATAAGCCTTATAGTTTTATTCCTGCTGGAAGATTTTCGGAAGTTTTCCAATCTTTTCACGTTGGAAAGCAAATTGGAGCTGAGCTTGCTGTTCCCTTTGACAAATCAAAGAGTCATCCTGCTGCGTTAACGACTGAGAAGTATGGAGTTAGCAAAAAAGAACTTCTCAAAGCTTGCTTTTCAAGAGAGTTCTTGCTCATGAAAAGAAATTCATTTGTGTATGTATTTGGATTGATCAAAGTGAGTTAGATATCCAAGCATTAAGTTCAATTTATTTGCCAACCAGCATAGGGTTATATTGTTTTTCAAGTTGAAGAATTTTCTTATATGAAATGTGTCACAATGCAGATCATATTCATGGCGTTGATTACAATGACCGTGTTTCTGAGAACTAAGATGCACAAGAACACATCAAATGATGGCCAGATATTCATGGGAGCTTTGTTTTTCACAACTGTAATGATTATGTTCAATGGGTTCTCAGAGCTTGCACTCACAATTCTTCGGCTTCCTATCTACTACAAACAACGGGACCTTCTCTTCTTCCCCGCTTGGGCTTATGCTATACCAACCTGGATTTTGAGGATCCCTATAACACTTTTAGAAACTGGAATTTGGGTTGCTATGACATATTATGTCATAGGATATGATTCAAATGCCGGCAGGTAATATGTTCTATGAGCAATGCTTTCATGGACTTGAGGTTCTTGTACTCAAAATTATAGTTTCGATGCAGGTTCTTCAGACAGTACCTTGTGCTGATATTTATTAGCCAGATGGCTTCAGCATTATTTCGCCTCATGGCTTCCTTAGGGAGGAATATGGTTATTGCAAACACATTTGGATCATTTGCATTAGTCGGGCTTCTTGCATTAGGAGGCTTTGTTCTGTCCCACGGTAAAATTTCTAAACATTGCACGAAGTGTCCTTGAGCCCCAATCTATTACTCTGAATCATCTCTGATCTCATTACATTCTTCAAAGTTATAACTATACCGCCTGTACTCTCCTTACAGATAATATAAAGAAATGGTGGATTTGGGGCTACTGGATTTCTCCCATGATGTATGCACAGAATGCGATTTCTGTAAACGAATTTCTAGGACATAGTTGGAGACATGTAAGCTCTCCTGTACATAGCGAAATTCTACTTTAAGACAAGAAAGACAAATCAAGGAAAGCGTAAACGATGATTCGCATTTCACAAATTTTTTCAAATTCTTGTAGATCATTCCTGAAGCAGCAAGACCATTAGGAGCTTTGGTTTTGAGGTCTCGTGGCATCTTTGTAGAGGCTCGATGGTATTGGATTGGAGCTGCTGCTCTAATTGGATACATTTTAGTCTTCAATTTCTTCTACATTTTGGCTCTTACCTACCTGAAACGTAAGTAGCAAGACAGTTAATCATTTTCATTGCTGAAAGGATAAAGATCCTTTATTTAACAGCACATTGTCACATTGTTCAGCATTAGAGAAGACACAGGCTGTCATATCTGAAGAAACTTTAGAAGAAAGGATTTCTAGCAAGAACGGTGAGCTTGTTTTCCTATCAACAAGGCAAAAGGCCTTGTCCAGCGAGTTATCATACTTGCAAGAAATTTTCTCTTGAGAACTTGCTCGCTGACATGTCATATACGAAACTATGCAGTAAATGCATCATCCAGATCCATGTCATCTAGAGTAAGTACTGCTGATGAAGATGAACTAAACAAGAAAAAGGAAATGGTCCTACCATTTGAGCCATTTGCAATCACCTTTGAGGACATAAGATATGCAGTAGATATGCCACAGGTTAGTACTAAAAGTTGCTCCATCATTTAATTGGTTTTTACAAGCTGTTTGTAAAAATAGCTTTCTCCAGGACCGATATTTCAAAATGTTAAGCATATAGTTGATGTAAGATATGTGCTTAGACAATAACATTTCGGAAGGGTTTTGAGAATGTATGTCTGATTTCAGGAAATGAAAGCTGAAGGACTTAAAGAGGACAGGCTTGAGCTTTTGAAAGGTGTTAGTGGTTCTTTTAGGCCTGGAGTACTGACAGCACTCATGGGTGTAAGTGGAGCTGGTAAGACAACTCTTATGGATGTCTTGGCTGGCAGAAAAACAGGTGGCTACATCGAAGGAACCATTACTATATCAGGGTACCCAAAGAAACAAGAGACTTTTGCTCGTATAGCAGGATACTGTGAACAAAATGATATTCATACTCCCCATGTGACTGTATATGAGTCTTTGAAGTATTCTGCCTGGCTTCGCCTGCCTGCTGAACTTGATGCTGCAACAAGAGAGGTAATTTTCTAACAATTTATTTGAAGTGGTTTCTGTTGATTCTGGTAGGTTCATTCCTGATTATGGAATGCACATAATCATAGAGGTTTGTGGAAGAAGTCATGGAACTTGTGGAACTGAAACAATTGAGGGAAGCACTCGTTGGATTGCCTGGAGTAAACGGGCTGTCAACTGAGCAGCGCAAGAGGTTAACGATAGCTGTTGAGCTCGTGGCTAACCCTTCAATCATATTCATGGATGAACCTACCTCTGGTCTAGATGCCAGGGCTGCTGCAATAGTGATGAGAACAGTTAGAAAAACAGTGGATACAGGTCGGACAGTTGTTTGCACGATTCATCAACCGAGCATTGACATATTCGATGCTTTTGATGAGGTAAGAGTAATCATCCTCAGGGTACAGAATAATTCTTTTTTTTTTCCTAAGCAAAACCTAAGTGACTCTAATTGCATACAGCTGGTGCTTTTAAAACGTGGAGGAGAAGAGATATATGTTGGTCCTCTCGGCCATCATTGCAATGAATTAATACAGTATTTTGAGGTAAGGTTTTCCTGTTTAAGATTTTGCATTAGTTTAGAATACTGTTTAATTGATGTTTCCCTTTCGTTGATGATCAGGGAATCCGCGGAGTCGCTAAAATTAGAGATGGTTACAATCCTGCCACTTGGATGTTGGAAGTGTCCTCAGTTTCTCAAGAAGCATCGCTAGGAGTCAGTTTCCCAGAAATATATAAAAACTCGGACTTATATAGGTAATCTGCTACAATCATCCATTTGACAGGTACATAATTGTTTATGGAAAAAATAGAACACTCACTTCTAGAATTTGGTTTTCTGTGGTAACTATTCACAGAAGGAATAAAGCACTGATTAAGGAACTAAGCACTCCTGCTCCAGGCTCCAAGGAATTGCACTTCCAAACTCGTTACTCGCAGCCATTTTTGGTTCAGTTTATTGCTTGCCTATGGAAGCAGCACTTATCCTATTGGCGGAATCCTCATTACACAGCAGTGAGGCTCTTGTTTACAACTGTAATTGCTTTGATGTTTGGAACAATATTTTGGAAACTCGGATCCAAGAGGTAAATAAATGCATTTATATTTTTGCACTTGTTTGGCAGACCTGCACTTAAGTTCCTAAATAAATCAGTTTCTTGCATTCAACTTCAGGGAGAGACTCCAGGATCTACTTAATGCAATGGGTTCTATGTATTCAGCCGTTTTATTTATGGGTATTCAAAATGCACAATCAGTTCAGCCTGTTATTGCCATTGAGAGGACAGTTTTCTATAGGGAAAGAGCAGCTGGAATGTATGCACCTTTAGCTTATGCATTTGGACAGGTATGGTTTCCTGATTTTCTAGAAACTAAAAAACTAGAAGACAATGCGGCAAAGAGTCGCTTTAATGATATGACACTGTCAAATTAAGACTTATCATTGTTGCTGCCAAAACTAAACAGATTTTTTCGCCATTTGATATAGGTTGCTATTGAGCTACCGTACATTCTTGTTCAAACAGTCATTTATGGAGTCCTAGTGTATGCAATGATTGGATTTGAATGGACGGCCGCCAAGTTCTTCTGGTACATATTCTTCATGTACTTCACCTTGCTATACTTCACAGCTTATGGAATGATGGCAGTGGCTGTTACACCGAACCAAAACATTGCTGCCATAGTTTCCTCCTCCTTTTATGCGATATGGAACCTTTTTTCAGGGTTCATTGTTCCAAAGCCGGTCAGTTCCTCTGAAGCATTAAGTGTATCAGTATTAAGTGTTCCTACATCAGAAGTATTAGTCCTTAGAGGTTAAGGGAATCCATGTCTGTTAATGTTTCTGACAAGTAGATGTTCCTTTTTTTTCTGCAGAGAATTCCAGTTTGGTGGCGCTGGTACTATTACATCTCGCCGGTTGCTTGGACGTTATATGGTTTGGTTGCCTCGCAATTTGGAGACATAAAAGAAACTATGGTGGACACAAACCAAACAGTAGAAGACTTCATAAGAGGTTACTTCGGTTTCAAGCATGATTTTCTCGGATTTGTAGCCCTCATTATAGTTGCATTTGCAACTCTTTCTACCTTCATCTTTGCCTTCTCAATCAAAATGTTTAACTTCCAGAAAAGATAGAAATGTTAGTGTAAGCTAAGAGGAAGCAAAACTATATATATTCAAGCTATATATGTAAATGTAACTGTGGCAGCCCTCTAGTTGGTTCCTTCTGTTCAGGTCAAGTTTTCTCCCACACCTTTTCTTCGACCCACTGCATTTTGCCTCTTCTTTCTTCTTGACATTGTCGTATAGGGTGTTAACTCGTGACACGATGCGGAATTAGTAGTAAAAATTATCGTATTTAAGATAAATTCGGTAAATGATTTGTCTTATTCATAAAAATATGAACTCGCTATAAACTCTAAGTTTAATACTCTTCTCGACATAAACACGACTCAATTGTCATTTTATCTTGAATGCATTGATATTAACAATCTTGTCACACTTAACTCACAAAAACACAAGTGAAGGTCAACAGAGATAGGGTCAATTTCTAGTTAGTATGGTGGAGTCCACTGCCTTATCTCCAAATTCTAAACAAGGATATTTTTTATTTTGGCTTGTGGGGGTCACCTTTGATGTTCCATTCTCCACCACATTTTTTTCATTTTCCTCTGCTGATTGTGGAGAGCAAAAAGAGCTTTATGATGAGACAGCTCTGATTATGAGTTATGACAAATTTAAGATGGATTGAAACTTTCACTTCCACTTTTACAGGAACTTGGTCACCACCTAGCTACTAAAGACTCCCAAGAATACTTTCGTCCAGGAATTCCGGATACTTGTTGAATCGATTAACTAATATTTTGATTGCTTATATACATACATTATCAAAAAAAATATAACAATCCAATTTAACGGTCTCACCAACCAAAATTTGTAACCATAGGAAGGAGGAGTTAGACCAAATGGAGTAGAATTAGAATAAATGTTGCTGTAATCAACAGAATAAGATTTGAATACCCGACTTTAGCTTATTTAGTGTTCTTCACTTGATTACAAGGAGTCCACATGCTTCAAAACTACTTTTGTGAATGAACGAATTAAGTCTACTAGTGACGAGAAATTTGCCTTTCTATAATCATGCACGTGAAAAAATAAATGTTACTGATATAATGGAGATTCCTCAAACAAAATATTCCTTAATTTCTAGGACCAGACAGATGCCACAGCTAGCTATATTCCTACGTTGTTGTAGGATCATAGATATTTAGTGCTACTTTTTACAACCTGCTACTCTGAGTGTAATACATTTTCAGATGTCATCATGCGCACTATCAATAATCACATGACACAACAGTAAGCTGCCTGAAAAAAGTGAAAAAAAAAGGTGTACTGCTTAGATCAACATTTTTCAAAAGTGAGATTGATTTTGTGAATTTTGATCATCTGGGTCTCTCTGCTTCAGCACTAGTGTACCATTGTCAATTTTTGATGCTTGAAATTGTACTACAATGGAGACTGGTGAATTGAGTAGGCTCAACAGTATAAGGCTGAGCAATTCAAAACTCTGGACTAATACTGCCAGCAGAGACTTCTTTTCCAGGTCTTCTCGAGAAGATGGAGGAGATGAAGAAGAAGCTTTGAAATGGGCTGCTCTGGAGAAGCTTCCAACATTCAAGCGTATACAAGTTGGCATACTTAAAGATCAAGAGGAGGAGGACGAAGGAGGAGGCCATCTTAGAGAAATTGATGTGAAAAAACTTGGGCCTTTGGAGAAAAGGAATTTAGTTGACAAGTTGATTAAAACTGCTGAGGAAGATAATGAAAGGTTCCTTCTGAAACTCAGAGAACGCATTGACAGGTTAACTTCAAATTATTATTTGAGCCCAAATGGAAATGTTGATGCCATGTTCTTATTTTTAAGTTATTTTTCCTTTTTCTCTAATTTTGGGTTCTTTCTTTCTTGCCTTCCCTGATGATGTTTAAGGGTTGGAATTGAGCTTCCAACGATTGAAGTTAGATTTGAGCATTTAGGAGTTGAAGCAGAAGCTTATTTTGGAAGTAGAGCTTTGCCCACAATATTTAATTTCTCAGTAAACATGTTTGAGGTAATGCTTAATTCAGGAACATAAGAGTTTTAGAATTTGCAGCTACTCGTTTACAGTTTATATGTCCTTTTGGATTTTGTTCTGATTTCTCTCTTCTTCTTATGAAGGGATTCCTCAATACACTCCATGTTCTTCCGAAGAAAAAGAAATCCTTTTCAATCCTGCATGATGTCAGTGGAATTGTCAAACCTGGAAGGTAAAATATGATAGTATCAGAAGGGGAAATTTTCTGGGTGAATTAGACTTGGTTTCTTCCCACTGAACTATCTAAATTGGCAGATTAACATTGCTTCTAGGACCTCCAAGTTCCGGGAAAACCACATTATTGTTAGCTTTGGCTGGAAAACTTCAATCTGATCTCCAAGTAAGGAAATTGAATTCGTGTTGTAGTTCTCAATTATTGATTTCAATTCCTGATAAGCATTTTGGGGACATAGGTTTCAGGGACAGTAACATATAATGGCCATACAATGGATGAGTTTGTTCCTCAAAGATCCTCGGCATACATCAGCCAACATGATCTTCATATAGGAGAACTGACAGTGAGAGAAACAATAGCCTTTTCAGCAAGATGTCAAGGAGTTGGTTCCAATTATGGTGAGAATTTTGGTTGTGTTGAACATTTTTTAAAGTAATATGCTGAGTAATTCAAAGCTTTTCTTTGTATTTATAGAGCTTTAACTAGTTTCTTTTTCACTTGGGAAATTGCAGAAATAATGACAGAATTGTTGAGGAGAGAGAAGGAAGCAAATATTAAGCCAGATCCTGTTATTGATGTATTCATGAAGGTCTAACTTTCTCAACCAAAAGTTTCCAGTCCTTGAGGCTTTAGCTGATATTCTGTCACAAGATTTTTAAGTTTGTTAATTATCCTAATATGATAGATTTGATGATGATGCAGTCATTGGCTCTTCAAGGCCAAAAGTCCCATGCTGCTACCGATTATGTTCTGAAGGTAATCAACTGAATTGCTAAAACCATGTCCAATATTTGGGATGTATTGTGTAAATAGTTATCCATTTTTGGAATGTATTCAGATATTGGGACTTGATATTTGCGCTGATACTCTAGTTGGTGATGCGATGATCCGTGGAATTTCTGGAGGCCAAAGAAAGCGTGTCACAACTGGTAAGAAGACAATGAATGATGACTTTTTTCTCTCAAACTAAACAGGCAAGACTACTGAATTGTATTTTATATGAAAGCATACATGTGTTTTGCTCTTGATAGTGGAAGAAGTGGCTGAAACCAAACATTTTTTCAAAAGAAAATTGCAACCTAGGATGCACAAATTTGTTCAAAACTTGCTGTCAAGTATATTCGAATCCTCAGAATTTATTGGTTGTAAAATTCAGGAGAAATGCTAGTTGGACCTTCAAGGGCACTTTTCATGGATGAGATTTCTACTGGCCTGGATAGTTCAACAACTTTTCAGATTGTGAATGCGATGAAACAAATCAACCATATTCTCCAAGGAACTACTGTAATATCCCTCCTGCAACCTCCACCTGAGACTTATGACTTATTTGATGATATAATTCTCTTATCAGATGGTCAAATAGTGTATCAAGGTCCCCGTGACAACGTACTTGAATTCTTTGAGTCCATGGGTTTCAAATGCCCTGAGAGAAAAGGAGTTGCTGATTTCCTCCAAGAAGTAATCCTTAGCTCTACTTCTCATTAATTTTATAGCATTCAGATGGAAAACTATATTTTTTATCTTTTTTTTTATTTTTTATCTTATATATCTGTTTTTGGTGGTTAAATGAAGGTGACTTCGAAGAAAGATCAAGAGCAGTACTGGTTTTGTCGAGATGAACCTTACAAGTTTGTTTCTACTAGAGAATTTTCAGAAGCATTTCAATCATTCCATGTTGGACGTAAACTCAGTGATGAGCTTTCAGTTCCTTTTGACAAATCCAAAGGACATCCTTCAGCTCTAACAACTAAGAAATACGGCATTGGGAAGATGGAGCTCCTGAAAGCTTGTGCTTCCAGAGAATTATTACTAATGAAAAGAAATTCAACAGTCCACATATTCAGGCTTGCACAAGTGAGTTGAATGTCATTGAATTAAGATTTTCTGTTTGTCATTTTAGAAGGTACATGTTCACATTCCAAGAGGTATGACACCATTAGCTGCTTTCTCTTCTTTTTTGTGTTTCAGCTCATTTTCATGGCGGTCATTGTTATGACTATGTTTCTACGAACTGAGATGCACAAAGGAACAGTTACGGATGGTGGAATTTATATGGGAGTTCTATACTTTTCTACTGTTTCACTAATGTTCTCGGGAATGTCTGAAATGGCACTAAGTATTCTGAAACTACCTGTCTTCTATAAGCAACGTGACCTTCTTTTTTACCCTGCTTGGGCATATGGTCTTCCCACATGGATACTCAAGATCCCTATCACTCTTATTGAAGTTCCCATTTGGGTCTGTTTGACCTATTATGTAGTTGGGTTTGATCCTGAGGTTGGAAGGTAAGATATGGAATCTCTCACAGCATAGCTATTGTAGTTTTCCTGGAGATTTATTGATAATGCAATTCGGAGCCTCCAATAGCCTTTTAAATTTTTGTTTTTGCTTGGACCCTTATGCCTAACTAACTTGCCAAAGGGGAATGAACTAGTCAGCACAAAGGCACAACTAGGTTTTGCTGAAAGTTTTCTCTCCTGTTCCATACAATTTGATGTCTCGAATATATTAGCTCAAAAGTCTAAATTTTCCTTACATTCTCCCATCATAGAGCGCAATCTATAATGGAAATCATTTAACAAAAAGTAAAAAACTATAATGTACAAAATGCCAAAGTGTTTTGCTTGCCGAAAGAATATTGTCTTGAGTTGTATAATTCTATGTTGACAAATAATGTCTTTAGGTGCAACACAGGTCAAATTATTCACAGAATATTTTCATAATGGATATCCTTGCAGGTTTTTTAGACAAGTGCTACTTCTCATTTGCATTCACCAGATGGCTTCAGGACTGTTTCGTTTGATGGCAGCATTAGGCAGAGACATGACTATTACTAACACGTTTGGATCGTTTGCATTACTAGCAGTTCTTGTTTTGGGTGGATTCATTCTGTCAAGAGGTAAAGATTTATTTTTCAAGCATTTTATGACGTATTGTTCTGCTAATTGCTAATGTTCTTTTTGATCATGAAGTCAAGATTTTTCAACCAAGAAGTTGTGTTTTGATGGTCAGATGACATAAAAGCTTGGTGGATCTGGGGTTACTGGATCTCACCTCTGATGTATGGGCAGAATGCCATTGCTGTAAATGAATTTCTCGGGAAGAGTTGGAGACATGTAAGAAGTTGTTTACAAATCTGTTTTGCAGAAATGACCACATTGCTGCTGGCCGTCATGGTAAATACTTGTTTGGCAGGTCCCTACTGGTGCCACGGAGCCACTTGGTGTAGTGGTCTTACGATCTCGTGGCATTTTCCCAGAAGCAAGGTGGTACTGGATTGGAGTTGGAGCTCTGTTAGGATTTATGCTTCTTTTCAATTTACTGAATGTTTTGGCTCTGACTTATCTTAAAGGTTTGTACAGATTCTGTCTTATTGTGATATACGGTGATCATATCACGAATAGTTTCTGAATATTTTCTAAAGCTTGCTTTCTCATGCAGCTCTAGGAAAAAATGAGGCTGTTCTCTCGGAAGAAATGTTAAAAGATGAAAATGCAGGTAAAGATAGAGAGCTTGACATATTGACATCAACAGGTATGTAGACTATGTTTGTGTTGCCCCTAACTTGCCACTCCTTGCATTTTTCTTAATACCATCCATTTTGAAACTGCAGAAGGTAAGGATGATAGGAAAACCATCTCATCTAAATCTGTCTCGCTGGAAATAGGGATTGGTGCTCAATCTAATTCCAACAGAAAGAAGGGGATGGTGCTACCATTTGAACCGCTTTGCATGACCTATGAGGACTTGAAATATGCAGTAGATATGCCAAAGGTATATCTGGAATTGGGAAGTTGATTAAATATATCTTCAACGTCTCACACAATACTTAAGAACTATAAAGCTGCAGTGGTAAACTGAAAGGAGTAGTATTCTTTCTTGTTATCTGAAGATGCTAGCATATTCTTTCTCTTGTTAAAAGAAAACTATGTACAATCAGATTGGTTTAGAGCTCAAATTCCGTAGTTCACAGTAAACGCAGCCAGCAAGTCTTCATCTGCTTCTCCTAAGTTCTACCTACCTGGATATTGGTTGCAGGAAATGAAAGCGCATGGTATTCCAGAGGACAGACTGGAGCTTTTGAAAGGTGTAAGTGGTGCTTTCAGGCCAGGAGTACTGACTGCATTAATGGGGGTTAGTGGGGCTGGAAAGACTACTCTGATGGATGTCTTGGCTGGTAGAAAAACTGGTGGATACATCGAAGGAACTATAACAATATCAGGTTACCCGAAGAAACAAGAAACATTTGCTCGTATTGCTGGATACTGCGAGCAGTTCGATATTCACTCTCCTCATGTTACTGTATGTGAGTCCTTGCAATATTCTGCTTGGCTCCGACTGCCACCCGAGGTTGATGCTAAAAGTAGAAAGGTAATCTAAAATCTGGAGCTTTGTTTTGAAAGATTAGATATGAAATCTTTTACCTGTTACAATATTTATCTATTTCAAATCCCCGAATAACCGCAGATGTTTATTGACGAAATCATGGAGCTTGTGGAGCTGACCCCATTGCGAGAAGCACTAGTTGGATTGCCTGGAATCAATGGTCTTTCAACTGAACAAAGAAAAAGGTTAACGATTGCTGTGGAACTTGTAGCCAATCCATCCATAATTTTCATGGATGAGCCAACGTCAGGGCTGGATGCTAGAGCAGCTGCCATAGTTATGAGAACAGTAAGAAACACAGTGGATACAGGCCGAACAGTTGTTTGCACCATTCATCAGCCAAGCTTTGACATCTTTGATGCTTTTGATGAAGTGAGTGTACTTATATGGCTCACATAATATACTTTCATTTCTACCCTTGATAGAAAACATGAAAAACAAAAAATAAGATAAAATGGAGTACTGATGCCAGTGGTACTGCAGTTGGTACTCTTAAAGCGAGGAGGTGAAGAAATATATGTTGGTCCATTAGGAGGACATTCTTCTCAGCTCATTGACTACTTTCAGGTAAAAGGCAATTTATGAGGCACTATAAAACCTTCAGCTGTCTAGTTCTTAGTTTGTGTTTTTCTTCTCTTAAGGGAATCCCTGGAGTCAGTAAGATCAAGGATGGTTATAACCCAGCGACTTGGATGTTGGAGGTGACTTCTGTTGCCCAAGAAGCAGCTCTGGGAATTGATTTTGCAGAATTTTATAAAACTTCTGACCTGTATAGGTGAGCTTGTTGAAATTTTAATGATTACAATTTGATCAAAAACTACACACTTTTGCTTATATCCGTACATTGCCTAAAATGATCCAATTTTCTATACTTCACATTTCACACTACTACAGATATGAAATGCTGATTTTACTAGTGTATTATTGACTGATTAGATTCATATACTTAATAGGAAAAATAAGGCTTTAATTGAGGAGCTCAGTGTACCTGCCCCAGATTCTAAAGAGTTACACTTTGCTACTCGGTATTCCCAGTCCTTTTACATCCAATTTTTGGCTTGCCTATGGAAACAACACTGGTCTTATTGGCGGAATCCAAGGTACTCAGCAGTGAGACTTTTCTACGCAACTTTCATCGCCTTGATGTTTGGAACCATATTCTGGGACCTTGGGTCAAAAAGGTAAATGTTGAAGGAAAATCAGTTGAGATTTCAGCATATTACCTATGATACAACCCATTCAATTTCTGCTCAATTTGAAACAAATCCAACCTTTCATACATGTTATAACAGGAGGAAGCAACAAGACCTTTTCAATGCCATGGGTTCCATGTACGCAGCTGTGCTATTCTTAGGAGTCCAAAATTCTACAACAATTCAACCTGTTGTTGCCATTGAGAGAACAGTCTTTTACAGGGAAAAGGCTGCTGGGATGTATTCGGCTTTGCCATACGCATTTGCACAGGTAATACAGCCATAGTTCTTATGCATACGGATAAACATTGTCCATCAGCATAACAAGGATCCTGAAGATGAGAACTGTAATAATGAAAAGTACTGCTCGATTGAAAGATTATGTTAATATAACTCGTTACAATCATGACACACAGCCAGTAAGTCATTCTCTTATCTTCTCATTGGAAGTTCTTCGAATGCAGATAGCGATTGAACTTCCTTACATTTTTATTCAAGCAGTCAGTTATGGGATTATAGTTTACGCCATGATTGGATTCGAATGGACAGCAGCAAAGTTCTGTTGGTATCTCTTTTTCATGTATATGACCTTGTTATACTACACCTTCTATGGAATGATGGCGGTGGCAATAACCCCCGACCCCAACATTGCATCCATATCGTCATCAGCTTTTTACGCAATATGGAGCCTGTTTTCTGGATTTGTAGTCCCTCGAACGGTAAGCTTCCTCCTTGTTGGAAATGAGACTTCTTACAATAAGATTGTTATTAATTTTGAAATATCAGAATGAACACATTTAGTTCTAATAATTCGGGTTCGCAGAGAATTCCAATATGGTGGAGGTGGTACTATTACATTTGCCCTGTCTCGTGGACATTGTATGGATTAGTTACTTCACAGTTTGGAGATGTCAAGGAAGAGCTTGAAACACAAGAAACAGTGGAGCACTTCTTGATGAGTTACTTCGGATTCAGACACGAGTTCTTGGGATACGTTGCACTGATTATCACCGGATTTGCATTGCTTTTTGGTTTCATTTTTGCCTTCTCAATCAGGCAATTCAACTACCAGAAAAGGTGAAGTGTCCCGAAAAGCGCCAACTTGCGGAAACTCTGAATATATAAACAAATGTGCTTGCCATCTGAGTAAATGTGTAACACACTAGGCGACCTGTGTAGGCTGTAGCCATACATTTTTTGATCTTTTCATTTTCTTTTTGGCCTAGAAAAACATGGCAAATCCTTACAAAATAACAACTTTATCATAACATAATAACTATATAAAAAATGCTTGATACGTGTAAGTATTTATCAAAGAAATACACTATCCCAAAATATCATGCAATGAAATGCAAGGATGAACTCGGTAACATAATTCTACAGCTGCCAGTTGATACACTAACAAAACTAGTGGTAAAATTAACCAAAAATGGTAAGACCGTCATTAAATACATATGAATTTCGCATCACAAACTATCATGTTACTAGACTATGAACATAATCATTTCATTGGTAATTGAGCTCTAATTGACCCATGAATCGAGTTGGGTTGACCCAATAACCGGGTTGACGAAGCCTAGAATTGTAACTCCGGTTGAACAGTGCAACTCTGATTAGGATTTCCTGCAAAAAAGGGACTCGAGGATTTCCCGAGCGTAGACACTCCGATTCTTAAATCAGAAAATAGGATTATGGAGTATTGCGTATATGATTATTGGAACTAGAGATAGAGTGTGACGACCCAAATATTTAGGTATGCATTTTGGAACTATTTTAGTGACTCTAATTAAATTATTTAATAATATTATGGGTATTTTTACCAATCTATTTATACTTTAGGTACTAAAATGATTATCATATCTTACTATATTAGAAACAAAAACCATACTTAAGAGAAAGCACCACCATTTGCCATGTGGCATTTCCACATTATATTTTTAAAATAAATTTTTATTTTCACATCTCCTAAACTTAAAAGGTAAATGCAGTCCAAATTTATTTCCACCTCCTATTTTCGTCAAAACAAACAAAAAAAAAACCGCGGGTTCATAAAAAACCCAAATCCTCATCCACATCGCCACGACAATCGACTCCTTAATCAATCCCTTCTCCACAATTAAAAAAAAAATAAATTCCTCATCAATCATCAATTAAGAATATGTGGTGAAATATACTCCTTTCCTATTAGCATGTTCAATCATTTCATTAGTGATGATCAACTACATCCTAATCGGATAAAATTTTAACTTTAAAAAATATTCTCTTTACCTCTCTATATAAACACAAAGGGAAAAAAAAAAATTCTCATTGATCTTGCTTCGGCCGTTGTGGTGGTGCCATTACAGGTATTAAAATTTAAATGATTTTATTTTCACAGATAATTGGTTTGGCTTTTATTATTTTTTATTTTTTCTGTTCAAGAATAGTGTTATTACTATTATTTTTATGCGTCCATCCGTTACAGCTACCGGAGCCGTTGTCAGGTAGTATGATGTGATTTCTTATTTGGTTAGTTAGTCTAAAATTTTTGTATGATTTTAGTTATGTTTGGATTGAATTGATTGATTGGGTTTTTGTTACAAAGTGTGGTTTTTTAACTTTTTTTTTATGTTTCATTCAATTAGAGTGGTTTTCTTTTTTTAATTATGGAATCTCAGGTTTTTTTTCATATATGGCCAATTATGAAGTGTGTTTTTTCTTTGTTTAATTGCTTTTGATTTTGTTTCATTCTTCCAGTTGACCAATTATTATTATTATTATTATTATTATTATTATTATTATTATTTTATTTGCAAATGAAGCACGTTTTTTTTTTTTTTGTGTTCGGGGTTTCAAGAATATACTTTTTTGGATTTGGTTTTTGGACTTTTTTATGTACTGTTCAACTCCATGAGAGTTTGGAATCCCAAATAATAGCTTCAAACCCGGAATTGAAATCATGGCATTGGAAGCCTTTTGGCATTGGGCCAATGCCAATGCCATCTTATTTTTGGACAGCCGAACACCGGATTTGGCATTGGGGGCCCAAATTCCAAATCCAACCCCCAATGCTATGCAAACGAACAGAGCCTTAGTTCCTCATTATATAAATAGTTCAGGTCGCTTCTTTTAACTAATTTATGGGGAAGCTTTTCATGAATTTGAGGTGGAGAGGGAAGGAATGATGTTTTTACGTTTATTTGTATTTTTATACCTCATTTTTACCTACAGAAAAAAAATAAAAATTCTCAAATTTTAATGGGCTATCTTTTACCTTTTTTTTGTTTGCCATGGTGAGGTGAGTTCTTTTTTGCTATATTTTGAAACCTATGCAAATTTACATTATTTTCATTCTCATATTTGTGATCAACCAGTTTCAACAATTAACCAGTTTCAACAATTAACCAGTATCAAAATCATATTTTTGATATTTTACTACCTATAAACTTTTGGAAGAAATAGTTCCAACAATTAAGTGTATACCCTTTTGAGTAAGCTAAATACAAATCTATTATAAATCTCCAAAACTAAGTATTGATTTGGCACAACCAATAGAGAAAATCAATAAATTATCTTACTAATATTTAAACTTATTAGGATGCTTTTATATTTTTTCTAGCATTTACTTCAAGACATATATTTGATTAAGTTTATTTATATTTAATAAGTAACACTTATAAAATATTTCTAACATCTTCAAACATTTCTAAAACGTACCGGGCCAAATACAATTTATTTTTATGCCAAATACAAACATCACATTTAAAAAACATTTCTAAAATTCTTCAAATATTTCTAAAATAGTAAAATATATCGGGCCAAATACAAAATATTTTTTTTTCCAAGATACAAACATTTCTAAGATCTACAGATATATTGGGCCAGAGTCCCGCATTACGCGACCAGACATCACTAGTTTATTTAAGATTTGGAAATGACTAATAAAAGTTTTAAGGATTTAACAATCAAATAGGAGGATAAATTTGAATGTATATGTATAAAAAAATATATATTTTAAAATAAAATAAAAATTAGAAAATGCAGCAAGTTGATAATGTGGACGAATTTGTGTCCAAGTACAAACAGAGAAGATCAATTTGGAAATGCTTGATTGATTCAATTAATTGGTATTCAAAGCCAAGAGGATAAAATAATTTCTTAAAAGGAAAACCTTAATTTTTAGCCGAGACTGGAGATAAAGAAAAGGAATGGATAGAATCCATTTTAGGATTAACAAAACCATTTTTCTCATTTACTTCTTCTCCTCACTGCTGGTAAGTATGATAACAAACAAAGAATAGTTTTTTTAGTAGTTCAATTATAATAGGAGATTATAGAATACTTAAGTCCTAGAAATTTTTTTGCAGGGTTTTGAATCGTTAGGCCACGTTGTCCAAGGTGAGGGAAATCAAGAGGATTTTTTTTTTTCCTCCAAAAGAAAATGACCAAACGGGTTTTTTCTAAAACCCAACTGTTTATTTTATGTACAAAGAATTCGTTTTGTGCAAGTGTGTATGTTTGATGCGATTCATACGTGGGTTGTTTAAATATTACTTTCTTTTTTTTTTTTCCTAAAAGAGATTTACTCTTTATCCTATTGTGTGGTGTTAGTGAATTAATATGCTGTTCATTTCTTGAGTCTTGATTGTTGAAAGAGTGATCTCTGCCAAACTTTAACACTAGTTTTAATTTGTCAACGTTTTCGGAAAAATCGTAATTGTAGTGACCAAGTTTATGAATTTGTTGTTCCTAGTTCTGATTTCATTTTATCAGATTGCTTTGACAGATAACTTCTCCGTTTAACAACATAGTTTATTTTGTTGTTTTTTTTACGGTTCGAAAAAGGGATCAATAGATCTTTCAAAAACCAATACCGAATATGTGACGTCGGTCATAGTATTTTATAATGTTTCAATGTTTTGTGTTTTCAGGATTTCACTTTTCTTTTCATTTTCTTTTTCTCCTTTGAACGTGGAAAAGAAAAAATCATACTCCTTGAGTTAGAGTTTATTATGGGCTGATGCATTTAATGGGAAAGTTCTATTATTTTTATTTATGTCATTTCCTTGCATTGTTTTGATTTATTTCTTTGAAAATATCCCAAAGCCATTTGGTGCATTGCCTATTTCCGAATGGGGTGTACTGCCAGGATTCAAAGCAAAAGTTTTTTCAAACTGATTGGTTCCAATACAGTGGGAAAATAATACTTTCATTTATTTGAAAACAAACTAATCATTTTAGTGCAGTCCGATTGTTCAAGTGAAATCAAGATTACTCGAAAGTTTTTCCATAGGCACTTTTGTGTTTATTTTATACGAGAAACATATGTTGTGTTTATTTTATACGAAAAACACATGTTTCATTTTGGAAGTTTTGCACATTTCTTGATTATTAGATTTTCGTGTGGCTGCTACTTTCAGTTCCCCTACAACAAGACAGTCACTGAGAAAACAAAGGGATTGGATTTTGGTAGCCAGAAGAAAACAAAACCATAGTTTCTTTTTAATAATTGATTAATCTAATTGACGTGAATTGCTACTATTTTTTTTTGTTAGCAAAATATGTATAAAATGTCCCCTCATTCTCGTGAAGCTATCAGCTTGAATTTTAAATATTTTTCTCCAGTACGGCTAAAAAGAAAAGTTCCAGTTTATTAGCTTCCATTTATTGTTTTAAAAAAATTTTGTTGAAGTTATTTATTGTGTTTTGAGAATTGTTGTCAAAGTGAAAATGTTTTCATATTTGTAAACTGCTATTATTTGGACTATTGGACAACTTGGAAAAACTTGTACATGCTTGTAAAGGGTAACCTATCCCGTACGTGGTTGAACCAAGTTATTGGCTAAACTCGTCGATTCTTGGTTCTCATGAAATACCATCTTGCTTGCTTGTAGTTCACTGGACTTTGGTCAGTAAACCCGTGAGACGTCTTGCCGTATAGACTGACTGCAGTCATATGTGAGCAGTTTCGTCCGTACTTGTTTGGGTTCTACTGGCGATATCTCGTGATTGAATTGTTTGCTTTATTTACTAGTTGGTTAATGAAATACATGGCTATCTGTCTATATCCTTGAAATTAATATCTTTATTTATTTTAAATAATGATTATATCTTTTGAATTAAATTATATATATTTGCTACATATTTGCATGCTTGTGGGTGTCAAACCCTCTTGACTACTTCACGGGGCTTTCCAAGCTCATCCCCCTTACCTCACATTACAGATTAGCTTTGCATTAGCTGGTGGATCGAGCATAGGTCTTGGGAACGTGCACGAGTGTTGAAATTAAGAAGATCATGTATGGTTAAGAGTGGAGTCTTGTGAAACATTAGATTTGACTTAATAATTATAGTTTTAATAATACTTCATAGCACGACATTATCTTATTATAAGAGTTAACACTTCCGCATTTTATAATTGAGAGTTATTAAGTCCTAGCGCGAGCTAGGCAAATGTCACGTGCAAGGCACCACGTGAGAATTTGGTGTTTTGGACGGGATGTTACAGTTGGTATCAGAGCAAAAGATCCTAGATTTAGAGAAGTCTTTAGTTTAATATACGTCAATCAAGGTAGTTTTGGAAATAAATATATAAATGACTAACATAGATTTTGGAAAATTTTGTAGGGAGGTCATGGAGATTGAGCGGAATAATTTGGGAGATGGGGTTGAGGACCTTAAGGCAGCACAAGAATATATCCGAGATCTAGAACATCGCCTTGACGATTACCTAACTAAGCTGATAGAGAAAAATAAGATAATTCGAGATCAAAAGAATGAAATCACCAAGTAGTCAATTACGAGCGTGTCCTGGATGAGCTTAGAGCAGAGAAACGTGATATCAAAGAACGCTACAAAGAACTCACTACTGAAGCTAAAAATAGTTTAGAGAGTCTGCAACAAAAAGCTATGGAGTTAGTAGGAAAGGCAACTTCCCACCTTTACTTCTTCAAAGATCAACACCCTACTGTAGAGGAAATTCGTGCAAAAGAAATCTCCATGGAAGAAGAGGTTCTTACCGAAGATATTATCTAGACAGGATTGAGAATAAAATAAAAGTAATGTTTACGTTTTGAATAAGAACTCAATAGAGCTTGAATAATAATTGTTCGTAAAGTGATGTTTGCCTTTGAATAGTATGGCTACTCTTTTCTTTCTAGTTTGATTTTTGATGCTTGAAGTTAAAACGGATTGGAGTTGATAATTTTAATATACCATTAGTTTTATAATATCGCGGCATACTATGATGTTTTTGATGGTGAAACCCAAGGGAAAGAAAGTCAAAGCCCGAACTACGGAAGCGAGTGTTCAACACGAGGAGCCAGAGCACTCAGATGGGCAATCTCATACTAGAGAGCAGTCCAAAACTAGGGAGCAATCCCAGTCTATGGGGCAATCTTATTTTGAGGGACACTCACACTCTGGTGGAAAGTCTCGAACAAATGAGCAATTTATCCCAGATGATGCAGGTTCAATTCCGCAAATAGCGGTGGCTATGGAAACTATGGCTAAAACTATGCAACAGTCAGCTGCTAACACGCCTAGGGGACCCTTGCCCCCTCATGAAGAGAGTGAAGACAGAGCCTTAGATAGGTTCTTAAAGTTTCGACCACCACGTTATAGTGGAGATGAAGGCATTGAAAAGACCGAGATGTGGTTGGAGGCTCTTGATGATATCTTTGAGGTTCTGGACTATTCAGAAGGGAGGAAGGTCAGGTTTGTAGCCTTTCAATTGGAGGGTCCAGCTCGAAATTGGTGGAAAATTGTCAAAAGTGACTGGCATAATACTCATATGCCAATTACATGGGCAAGGATTTCTAAGGCTTTTAAGGAAAAATTCATTCCGTTGTTGGCTCGAGAAAAGAAGGAAGCAAAGTTCATAGGACTCAAGCAAGGGAATAAAACGGTGGCAGAATATGAGATCATCTTCTCCAAGCTTACCAAGTACGCTCCGCAGATGGTGGATACGGATGAGAAAAGAAAGAAAAGGTTCATTCAAGGTCTCAAGGTAGAGATAAAAAACGCTCTATCTGTAATCAAACCAGACTCATATGCTGATACAGTTGATAGGGCACAAAGAGCAGAAGAGTCACAAGCTGAGCTTCAAGCTTTTCAGTCTTGAAAGTTAATTGGTCCAAAAGCATGGTTACAACCCAAGAGTGATATTGGCAAGGACTCTGTTGAGAAAAGGAAGGTCATTGAAGTAAGGAAGCAGCCCACTGGAGGATCAAGAACGTTTTGCAACTACTGTAAGAAGCCCAACCATACGGAGGCTGAATGTTGGTCCAAGCTCAAGAAATGCTTAAGGTGTGGGAGTGGAGATCATCATATTCAGAATTGTCCAAAGCTGAAAGAGAGTACTGGAATTTTGCAAAAGGAGTCCAACGAAGGTGGGGAAAAACCAAAGGTTGCTGCAAGAGTATTTGCGCTAGGACACCAGGAGTTGGATTATGACACAAAGGTGGTGGAAGGTATGTTATCCATTTTAAATTTAGATGCATCGGTGTTAATTGATCCAGGATCTACTCACTCTTTTGTTATCCCAAATTTCTTGTGTAAGATTAAGGAAAGGCCTAGGTAGTTTCCGTATCGTTTGGAGGTAACTACTCCCACTTCCAGCGTCTCCTTGTTTACAGATAAAGCAAGAAGACACTGGAAGTGGGAGTAGTATGACATTCCAAGATGTTGTATGACATTCTCTCCGGTAATAGGACTTCTGTTGGGGCTATAGATCTCGTCTTTTGTAGCACTGCTTCTTAGAGTAACCTTTGAACAAGTTCTTAATAGTACCTTGCTTGTCTAATTCAATTCTTTTAGCCTTTAAAGTTCTTGACTCAGGAATCATACTTTGTTCATTAGGTACACCTGATGATGACGAAAATCAAGCCAAGAATTTTCCCATTATGACAGGATTTCATCAGCAATGAGGAAATTGAAGAACATCCACAACATCTCTACAGTAAGAACTCTCGAGAAGGAGATCGTAGATGCTAACATCTGTACAGTTGAACTCTCGAGAAGGAGATCGTAGATGCTATCCAGGTATACAATGTGCAGATACATTCTCGCTTGGTACAACGCTTTAAACAGAAGAAAGAAGAGTATCAGCATCGTCTTTGTCAATATGATCTTGATTTCCAAGATTCCCTGATACTGGAAACGAATGTAAGTGAGGAAATGGCTCGGTTGAAAAAGGAGAATGCCCAGCTAAAACGCCGTGAAGGAATCGTGGTGTCCCTGTGGTTCCTCGAGAAGTTCGAGATTCTTTTACTTGTTGAGAAGTAGATACAAGTTAGGACAGAACGTTTCATTGCCGCAATAGAGCTGCTGAAGAAAAGAACCAAAGAAGCTGAGTTCTTCTCAAAACAGTCTGCCATTTTGTAGAATATATTAGCAGACCATGAGGTTCCACTCCATTCTCGAGGACCCAGATAAAGGTGAAGAAGCTAAAGAGAGGACAGCCGCCGAGGAGTACTCGCTACAGCTGAACGAGCAAGACTGGGAAATCATCGATTTAAGGGACAAATTAAGCCAGTGTATCAACCAGCTTAGGGTGCTAGGCTTCTCTGGCGTTATTAAGCCATCTCAATTTAATCCTAATGGGGAAAATGTTGAGATATAGGGACAAATAAGTGTATTTATCCAACCCCGCAAGTTGTGTGAGGGTATATTTAATTCGAGCCTTGTCGACGTCGTTTGTTTTCACATACTCGAGTATAATGTATATAGTGCTTAATGGCCGGATGTCAAGTACACGTCTCTCTCAAGGGAACCGGATACGGGTTTATCGAAGCGTAAATACCGCGATCTATAGCTAGTATAAGGAAAGTTCCTCAATTCGAGGATGGCCTTAAAGAGGGTGTCCATCTCGGCGACTCGTCACGAAATAATGTCGACACATTCGAAATATGAAAAATATGTATGACTTTTATTGAATAATTACTTGAGGACCCGGGTTAGCATTACATATAAGGGAATAAAAATAGCAAATTGCATAGAGCAAATAAATTAGCAAGTAGCATGTAAAAAACTTAAACATAGAACCTGCAAAGGTTCTGAATGTTCCACCATCAAGGGAGTATGGTTCCCGTATCATCCGTTGTCTGCAGGCGATAACTACCAGAAGGGAAAACTTGGATGACTCGATAGGGTCCTTCCCAGTTTGATAACTTTCCAGGAGGCTCTGCTCGACTAGCTTCATTTTTCCTAAGTACAAGGTCCCCGATTGCGAAGTCAGTGTTTTTGACTCGCTTATTATAGTGCTTTTTGAAGACCTCTTTGTACTTGGCTTCTCGGACTCTTACGGCGTCTCGCCGTTCCTCGAGCAGGTCGAGGTTAGTCAGGATGTCTTCATTGTTGGTGTCTTCGATGAAGTTGATGGTTCGGAGACTAGCGAGGCCATTCTCGACAGGGAGTACAACGTCCATTCTGTAGACTAGGCTGTAGGGAGTTTTGTCTGTTGAGGAGTGAGCTGTTGTACGGTAAGCCAATAGGAGATGCGATAGGTCGTCGACCCATGCCTCCTTGGCATTTTGCAGTCATGTCCTAATTCCATGCAAGATGGTTCTGTTGATGGATTCGGCTTGACTGTTTGCCTGTGGATGAGCGACCGCAGAGAATCGGCGCTCGATTTGCATTTTACTACACCATGACTTGAAAGGATCACTCTCGAATTGAGTCACATTTTCTGACACAATAATTTTGGGCACTCCAAAGCAGTAAACCACGTTCTGGCAGAAAAAATTCAATACTTTTTGCCCAGATATCGAGGCCAACTATTTCGCTTCTACCCATTTAGTAAAATAATCTCCTATGATAACCCATTGTAATCCTCCTGCCCCTTTTGGAAAAGGGCCGATCATGTCAGTGCTCCATTGGTGGAAGGACCAAGAACTTTGGATAGTTACCATCTCGTGTTGCGGCTGTCGAGTGATAGGAGAGAATCACTGACATCTATTGCACTTTTGGACAAACTGATAGGCGTCCTTAAAAACTGCTGGCCAAAAGTAACCTACTCGAAGTACCTTTTAAGCCAGGCCGCGCGCTCCCTTGTGAGCGCCACAAGACCCTTCATGAACTTCCTCGAGGACATAGGCTGCTATCAGGCTGATACACCACAGCATTGGTAGCAGATACCCATGTTTGTAAAGAATTCCGTCCTTCAAGGTATACTTGACTGCTTTCAACTTTAACGCTCAAGCTTCAGACTTGTCACTGGGGAGGGATCTGCTTTTGAGAAACTGGATAAATGGTGTCATTCATGAATCTCCATCTTCGGTGATTGTAAAGGACGCTCGAGGTTGGATGCTAGGTTCGGGGAGTATCTCAACCCAAACCTTATGATTGAGATGTGCAAAGTTGGATGAAGCTAACTTGCTTAAGGCATCGGCTCTTTTGTTGCTAGTTCGAAGATGTGGGAAATGGAACACCTGTCGAACTTATCCTTGATTTCGAGGACTTTTTCAAGATATGATCTTAGATACTCCTCGCGAACAGTGTAATCGCCAGCAATTTGCTTAACAACCACCTGAGAGTCGCTGAAAACCTCCAAATTTTGGACCCCCAACCTTAAAGCCATATTCAACCCTGTAATCATTGCTTCATATTCAGCTATGTTGTTGGTGACCGGGAAGCTGAACCGTAAGGCATAAGAGTATTCTGCCTCATATTCCTTTATCTTTTCGATTTCCTGCAACGCGGTTGGCTTAGCCAGGATGATACCGGTTCCTCCCCCTTCCTCACAGGACGAACCGTCGACGTAAAGGGTCCAAGCTCGGGGATCTGCGGGAGTATGTTTTTCCACTTGCCTTTTGGAAGACGGTTCGGGTATGGGATCTGAACTACGAGGCATTTCGACGAGGAAGTCTGCGAATGCTTGTCCTTTTATAGCCGTTCTAGGTTTCTACTCGATATGATGTTCCCCCAACTCGAAGGCTCACTTCATCATTCTACCGGAAGCCTCAGATTTGAGGAGGACCTGCTGAATAGGCTGCTCGGTCAGGACTTGAATTGGATGAGCTTGGAAGTAGGGACGCAGCCGTCGAGCGGCTAACACTAGGCTTAGTATCGGCTTGTAGGACCTTGTTCACAAAATAAACTGAGATTTTTTTCCCTTCTTTCTTTTGGATCAGGACTGCTGATTTGGCTGTTTCTCGAGCAGTTAGGCAGATATATAGGAATACTCCTGGTTCCGGCTTTCCCAACATAGGAAGCTGCTTGAGATGCTGTTTCAAATCTTGAAAGGCTTGCTTGCATTCCTCGGTCCACTTGAATTTCCTCCCTTTTGGTAGCATCTTGAAGAAAGGAAGGCTTCTCTTGGCTGCTCGATAAAGGAACCTATTTAGCGCTACAAGACAGCCGGTAAGTTTCTGGACTTCTTTGACCATCTTAGGAGCTTGCATGGAGAGTATTGCCTTGACTTTGGCGGGATCTACACTTATACCATCTTTGGAGACTTGGAAGCCGAGGAAATTTTTGGAACCTACGGAGAAGGCGTGCTTCTTCGGGTTGAGTTTCATGTTGATCTTACGAAGATTCGTGAAGATTTCTCGCATGTCCTTCGCTATCTTACTGTCGAGATTACTCTTGATGACCATATCATTCACATAAATCTCGATATTATGCCTGATTTGCTCGTGGAATGCTTTGTTAACCAACCAATGATAAGTAGCTCCGGCATTCTTTAGTCCAAAAGACATTTTACCATAGCAATAAACTCCAATTTCAGTGATATAAGCTGTTTTTTCAGTATCTTCTTGTGCCATAAGGATCTGATGATATCCCTTGTAGGCGTCGAGGAAGCTGAGAGTTCGAAACCCGGTGATTTGCTCAACCATTTGATCAATGACCGGCAAAGGGTAGTAGTCCTTGGGGCAATGCTTGTTGAGGTCGGTACAATCCTGGCACATGCGCCAGGAGTTATCCGGCTTTCGGACGAGGACTGGGTTTGCTAACCATGTTGGCCAGAGGACTTCTCGGAGGATGTTGGCACGAACAAGCTTAAGTGTTTTTTCATTGATGACGTCATTGTGGTCTCGAGCAAAGATTCTCTTTTTCTGTTGTACTAGCTTAACGTTGGGATCTACGTTTAGCTTGTACTCGATTATCTGTTGAGGAACTCCAATCATATCAGACGGTGCCCAGGCAAAGATATCTCGGAACTCGTGTAGCAAGGCGATTACCTCGGCCCGCAACGTTCCGTCTATGGATATTCCCAGTTGGATTGTTTTTCCAGGTTCTTTTTCGTCCAAGATTAACTCTGTTTTATTGCTGAGTTGCGGTTGATTTGTGTGGTTGAGGTCCATGGGTTGTTCTTCCTTTACGTCCTCGACTGATGGCATCCCTTGCTGGACTGAGTAACGTCCCAATGTGGTTGTGGTGACTCCAGATTTCACTGCTTATTTCCTGATTTTCACTGCCGTGAGGAGGCATTCTCGCGAACTGCATTCGCACCCTTGCATTATCCCTATCCCATACTCCGTTGGGAATTTCATTACCAAGTGATAATAGGACCAAACAGCGCGAGCTTGGCACATACATGCCTATCCTAAAATCACGTTAAACGGCGATGGTGCATCAATTATGGCAAAACCCATGGTTAAGGTTACCATTCGAGGATGCGACCCTACCGTGATTGAAAGCCTTACGATTCCGCTGGAGATAATCGTGTGCCCAGAGAAGCCCATTAGTGGTGATGTTGTCGGACGCCAATCAGGATTTTGTATGTTCATCTTCTTGAAACAGTCGCTATAGATGATGTCGACTGCACTACTGTTATCATATACTCGGCTCACACTAACGTTTCATATAATGGCTTCAATAACCATGGCGTCGTAGTGTGGACAGATGTCTGGGACTACGTGACTATCCGTAAAGACTATTGCCTTGATTCCCTTGAACCGTTTGTGGCTAGGCTCTTGTGGAGATG